AGAGTGTTTTGGGTTAGAATCGGAGGCGGTCTATCCATAGAAATGTCAAATGCTGCCTTGAACTTATAAGAGTTTAAACTTATACTGAAATTATGTACTACCCATATCTCCACTTTGGGTCTTCTTTAGAATTTAATTTAGCCGCTATCCATGTGTAATTATACTTGTAACATTCCCAAGATATGTCTCTACGACATGAAACATAGAGATCATATCCGGGAACCAGTAGGTAAACAAAACAAAATATCTATGAATATTATATATATCCCCAAAAGAGACGTGGTTTGTGAAACAACTGTATTTACAAAGTGCAACCTTAACTAACATTTTTTTCAAATAAAAAACTCTTGAAGAACACTTTTTCTCACAACAATACATTTTTATCAGAAACCTAATAGAAATCTCTGCATTTACTCTAACTTTTCTTTTACAGTACATTTAATACCCCCACCTCTGTTTTTATTTTTAAAGAATTTGAAATCAAGACTTTAATCATTGTCAGCTTACCCTATGTGCATGTTTTCTGACATGAAATACCTAGAACCTGTATTAAACTACTTTGATAACAAATTAAAAGCATTTCAGAATACTATCATTAATATATTAATAGTTAATCATTCCAACGTTTAAGATTGTATAAAGTATCCAATCCTGCCTCTGTCTCCAGTTCACATCTTACTGTATGCCCATTTATCTATAAAAGTTCACAATTTCAGCCTCAAATGGTCAGTTTAAAAATCTTGTCACAATACTATCATCTCTTATCATATATCTAACACAATTTGGCTAATATATGAAATAGAAGTGTTTAAACTACTTCATATTTGCAAAAGTTGTGTGTATGAAGTTACCAGTTTGATATATAAATTCATCAAAAGTTGTATAGAACTGACTGCTAAAATCTGGTTTGTGTATAACTTCAAAGCAAGGTTATTTTTTTCTATAAAAAGACCTTTATAATAATAAAATCATAGCCTTTACAGGTTTAATTATTTGTTTTATAACCCAGGGGTTAGGTATTTTTCTCTGTTTTTTGCCACTGGGGCCTTAAATTTGCAATATAATTCTGCTGTTTCTGTGAATATGGAATATTTAGTATATTATTAGGATAGAACACACTATTGTTAGTTTTATAGAGGTATTTTTGTATCTCTAGCTTGTTTTTGTATGCCGCGGTCACAAGAAAACACATTCAGGTGTTACGGCTTACTTATGGGTTTTCGACAGGACCAAAAAACAACCCAACAACAATGTTCATCAAGGATCTATGAGTTTCAATGACTGCGAAGAGTAAATATAAGCACTTCTTAACAATTTAATTAAATATATGCATATGTTATGAATTTACTTTACATACAGGGCTTTAGGTAAACTATGCATACTGTAAACTGTGAATTTATGCTGAGTCATTATATTTAAGAACCAGGATTTTCTCCATCTTCATGAAATATTTATAAAACTTTATTTTTGAGTTAATTTCATTAAAATCTCTGAAGATAAAGCAGATTTGGTGAAATTCTAAATGTTCTCTTTTTCACCCAATATATTTACACATTAAGATGTTGGGATGTTGAACGGTTTGCAATGAAACGACAGACCACTAAAGACAAAAAAGATGAGGATGTAAAGAACTATAGGTCACCGTACAGTCTTCAACAAAGAGTCACACTAATACCGGCATCACAAAATGTCAAATATTTCAAATGGGAAAACAACCATTCTGATTTATGTATGAATGATAAACAAAAATGAAACATGACTGACATCAACCGACAACAACCGTTTAATCAAAGAACTCCTGAGAAGTGTCAGTCATATTGAGGATGTGGCGGGGTTAAACTTGAGTGTTAACCCTTCGCTTAAATCTAGAACGGCGGTGTAGCATCAATACATAAAATTCAGTAGGAAAAGGCTTTACTTATCAATCGGCACGAAGAACAACCGCAAAAAGACAAAATCACAAAGTACCGATCTAAGAGTACTCGAAACTATTCAAATCAAGTTAAAATCTAATTTCAACCAATACATAAACCATGTTTTCTCTGTTTGAAATGGGAACCAGTTCACATCCCATGGATGTGAATTTTACATAGTAAGTCATGGTTGTACTATATCTGCATTTTTTCGATCATTGTATGCAACCATATTCACTTAGTTAGCAACTAAATTACCATGTCAACGTTATAAAACCAAATGACGTCGACGATATCGACATCTGGGTTTGTATTGGACATGTATGACTGCCGACGGTCATATAACCCGATATAAACATTAATATAATCATAAATAGATAGCGAGCGAGCGCATACAATTGAATTTTTCTAGGTCTGTTTGATTTCATGTTCAAAAAATATGTTAATGATCGTTTTTTCAAATGATCAGCAATACTATTGAGCTTATTTTGACAAATATAGACCAAATTGACTGCTTACACCGAAATATTTGGATTTTTTATTGTCGGATTTTTGTCTCATTGAAGTAAACCCATGTAATTTTTCATTCAATTTTGTTTTCTGTGTCTTTCATGGAATGTGGTTGGGAAATTTGAAAAATAATATGGAAAAAAATATACCTTTTTGACAAGTTTCAACCAAAACGAAAAAGGAAAATGGTAAAAGTGAGAATCACCAACGAAAATTAAGGCCGAATTAAGCTCACGTGTCCAATGCTAAGTAGAGCTTAACGCTCTGTCTTCGGATTCATATGCTGTTGTTTGTCGTTCTGTCAGTTTTTTTAAATGGTTTTCTCAGTTTCTCTTCTATTAAAGAGTTTTGGAAGTCCCTTTGGTATCTTCCGCCTCTTTTTTACAAAGCATATCAAATTATGAAGAGGAATGCTAATATTTGACTTAACCTCAGCAAAAAAAAAAATTTTTGGAATAAAAGCATTAACTATATCTAGTCAGTAAAGCGAGGAAAAATAAAGTGAAGGAAGTAATAGTATTTTGTACCTGAAATTGTGAATATAGAATTCATCTATCCTTTCAAAATTAATTTAATTCTACTGATACATGTAGGTGAATAAAATTGTATAATCTAGTCACTGTAGATAATACTGCCACTTTGATGTCATAAACATCTGCAGATAAAAACTCTTTCTGAAATTGCCATTGAAATAGTTTTCGTCAAAACAAATATAACCAATGGCCGTACCCAAAATGTACTCTCTTCAACAATCTGGATCAGACATATTGTAGCTATTAACTGTTTATTTGATGCATTTGTTTGCAGTTATTCGTTACATGAAAGAATATAATATTCACAAGGAAATATGTAGATGAATTAACATATATAATGACTGATATCTGACAGATTTTTTTTTATAGTAAACAGGTTTTTGATTTACTCAAACACGTGATGAACGAAAACCTCCCGAACTGCAAAACATTATGACTGAACAACCTTCTGTTCATGAAACAAATCTTCTGTTAAAAATATGTTTACTTCTATGTGACATTTATGCGGAAGGTGAACTCCAAAAGGTTTATAAACAGAATCAATAAAACCATGTAAAACCAATACAAAGACAGTCATTAAAGCAAAAAACATGTTGATTACCAAACTATGTTTTAAAAATTCCGCTTTAAAGACTTGAAAAAATCAAAAATTGTACCAGTCTACATGGTTTAGGTATTAGATAATTTTCTAACACGGATTCCTCGATTGAATTCTTCTGAAATATATCTACTTCGGTAATGCATATTAAATAAAGAAAAGTATTGTGTCAGGTACATTCAAAAATTGTTACTTTCAGTACACTTGCATTACTTGTCATAAATAGAAGTATAATCAGAAAAACTCTTCTTTTTTTTTTAAATCATGACTAACGCTTGATAAAAAGATTTTTTATAATAAATGTTTTGCCATTAAAATAAAGCTGTGGTATGTTAATGGGCTTAATCGAAGAATCCACCCAAAAAGCTACCATTCCACTTTGATGATTTCGGGAAAATATTCAAGGTCGAAACGAATGCTAAAAAATATTTTTGTCATCAAACTAGTAATAAGAATTCTCTAAAAGAGATGCGAAAATTACCAAAGGAACAAAGCTTTAACTAAAGACAACCACTAAAGATGCGCCTTACCTTGAACGGGTAACTGACAGTTGCGTTTAAAGTGGAAAAGAATAGATATTTTACATATATATTGTCTGTCAGTAAACACTTTATGTACTGTACTGATGGACCATGCAACGACCAGACAAAAGAACAAACACTTGAAATTACTTGAATAACATTGGTTTGGAATCAACCTCATATAGCTGACATATCTTAATGAATAGGGAGGTTAAATTGAGATCATAATAGCTGTAAAAGAATCAATTTAGAGTTATCACATTTAGGTATTTTTTTATCTAGTAAATATATGCTTTTTTTATGGGTGTTGCTTTTTTTAATTTTTGCCTGCATGTAACACTGTATCCTCACTAGTTACATTTAAAATAAGACTCATTCCAGAAATAGCATGTATGTTAAATCTTGATTGCGATTATTAAGTACGTACTTTCATATCAAGATGACAGACAAGATTAATAGTCCCATCTGTGTGAAATTTAGACGCCATATTTACAATACATATTTGAACAAATCAATCAAAAAGGTGCATCTTTAACAAAAAGACATCTAACACAGGAATACGAATCATGTTATATGGGATTTGAAGCATATTCTACTAACCGTTCTTCATTATCATCTGAAGTTATTTAGTTATTATTACTAGTGTTATCATAACCGTTTTATCGTGATTTGTTTCTTTTGTTGGTTTTTCCCATTATCGAACATTCAAATTGTCGATATATCAATAACTATTTTATATTTAACTTTAACTCGTAATAATTGGAAACAAGAAAGAATTTTTTATGCGGTTTTGTTGTTTTCTTGCTGTCTTATTGACGGTTATCGCACAACATCAGAATTTATTTATATAAATAATTTGACAGAGAAACTTTTCTTTAGGTAGTCAAATAATGATATGTATTTCAATGAAGAAAACAGGCAGTAATAATTGACAAAAATTCTGAAGCTTTTATTCAAAATGTAATCCACAGATTGATAGAAGAATTGGCAAAATATAAAAAAGCTATTCAAGTACTTTTTATATACATACATGTATTTAAGGGGGAATGAAAACGGTAACACTCACAAACGTCGATAAAGAATATATATCACCCTCTCATTACATCACTTAGAAAAAACTACAACTTGTCGATAAATCTTATAACATAAATGTTGTCAAGGAGAAAATGTATAGCGTTTATCATCTCATCACAGTTACAGTAAGTATATCTAGCGTAATGACCTTTTGCATAAGGGAAGAAAGGCTTTTCATGAGTTGCAGCAAATTTGCAATTAGATTTTCCCAAAGGATCATTTGATTAAATAAACACTTTTGTTTGATAAGATTGAGTAGAGGGGTAGAGTTAAGTGTCGAAAGTCATAACTGTAAACCAAATTGAAATGACAATCAAAAGCACGTATTTTTTCTAAAACATCTAAAGATTTTTTACACATCAAAAATAATGTATTTCATTTTTTTTTTCATATGCTTTATTACAAAAGGTAATAAAACGTATTGAAATTTTAGTAAGGGAACTAGTTCAAAGCACAGAACGATTATTAATAGAAAACTGGAAGCTGAGATGGAACGATATTGACCTTTTTGTGAGTTTAGGTAGCCAATACATATTAGGGACCTTCAAATGTTCAGAGAAGGCCTTAATCTATTGTTTACCTTTTGAGTCTCTATGAAACAAACGGCCTTGAACGTAGAAGAATTCATAATTTCATTCTTAAGAACAGTTTTGTAGTATTTTACGTCACAACACATTGCTAGTTTTTTTAAGTTTGTTTTAATCCTTAAACCAGGCGTTTTATTATCTATACACGTTATATTTAGAATTCGTTTTGCGTTATCAGTAATTGGCGAGTAACATCAGTTGGTATTCGTTTTACTACATGCCATACAGTAATACATATTTTCTATTTATAAATGAAATCCTGAGGTCCTTTATTGTAGGGAGAGTGCATGCAAGTACGGATTTTTGTCATGCTGAATTGAAAATAAAACCAATATCAAAGCCATGGTTTTTATTTCTTAAAGAACGGACATACGTTTTATGATGATAAATCTTACTTTTAAATCAACATGATCGATGGAGATTTCTTAAGAAATATATCAAGCAAACACATTCTAAGTGTATAAATATTTGAAGTAAACAGAATTTTTATGTTTAAAGAACATTTCAGAGTCGAAACTAATTACATGTACACTAAATATGTAATCAAGCTAAGTCAGAGATTTTAATAATGAATCAATATAAAAATGATACTTTTTCGTTTGTGTAAATACAAATCATACCCTGTTTATTGCAAGAATTGTCAAAATTCTAATATTCAATAACAATTAAATGTATACTTGTAAGTTTCTTGCTAAAAACCATGGTTTTCATAGAAACAACACTTCAAACCCATGATACCGTCGAATTATTTTTGGTATGAAAAAAAGCATCTAAGTATTATCTACAAATTTTAGAATGATGCAGAAATTATGAATTGATGAATTTGAGAATGTTACAAGAAATGATTTTTTATAGTTAAATACATATTACAAATATAGATATGAAGTTGTTTACCTCATACATTATGGTTTCTGTATTCATCTGAAGTACATTTTTTTTCATACAGTCATATATGTTTATAAATATCAAGACATACGTTAATTGTTTGTTTAACCATAAACTTGTCTTTTATTTGCTTTGTAAACAATTGCATATGTATATTTGATGCAACTCAAATTCTTTTAATTGTTATTACTGCTTTTCCTTACTTTGTCTACGACCGCATATTCTGTATCATTCCCATACACAGGATTTATGTGTTTAACAGCATCTGAATTTCTTCCTTTATCCACAACGGCATACTCATTGTTATCATTGTCCATTGTAGATAAATGTATTGTCTCTTCGTCTGATCCTCTTTTGAAACTTACATTTGCATTTGTCTTTGGTTTTGGTTTAATAACTGGCTTTGATTTGCTTAGCGAACTATCATTGTCGCTACCTATTGTGCTAAATTTTCCATCAACAGTACTATAATCTCCATCAGAGGTGATCCGTTGATGAACTTTCCGATTTTGTTCAAGATCAACAGTATCAGTGTTTCCGTCCTCCACAATATCATTTTGTTCCGAGGAAACATACAAAATATTGTCTTTCAATCCATCATAGTCATTATCGGAGTCTTTGCTGTCACTGCAAAATTGTTTCGTTGAATAATTCTTAGACTCTTTTAGAGATGCCTCATTTGACCTTTTCCTGTCAAGAAAGACAAACATTAGTTAGTAGATTTACAAATCGAAGTATTCACTATTTCATTCAAATTAGTGGAACAATATAAACGATTTTAACATTTTAATATGAGTTTATCTTAAAGCCCTACAGTAAGGAAATAGCTTATTGATTTATTTAGAGTCCATATTGAAATTAAAACAGTTTAGGTACCGATATTTGATATAAAAAGGTATGTATATCATACATAAATCACTATAGTCAAAATGTGAAATTATGTATTCAAATATTGGTGTATTTGGATCCAGAATCACCGATGAGTCTTTTGTAGACGACACGCGCGTCTGGCGTACAAAATTGTAGACCTATTATCTTTATTCGTAGCGGAGGGGGCATTAAGTGTTACCCTTGTCCATCCCGAACGTCCAGAACGTTCCGAACGTCATCAAAATTGGTTGCACTTTTACCGTTCATGAATTATGCTCCTTTATAAACATAAAAATTACTGAATTTTTCGTTTCCGTTCTCTAATTTTAGTTTGCCTCAACTAAATGTTATAAAACTTATACACAATGCTAATTACCACAAAACACAGATCAACTTCGAAATTGGGTGACATCACTTTTACCGTTCATGAGTTATGCTCCTTTATAAACATAAAAATTACTGAATTTCTCGTTTCTGTTCTCTAACTTTAGTTTGCCTCGAGCAAATATTATAAAACTTATACACAATGCTTATTACCTCAAAACACAGATTAAGTTTGAAATTGGGTGACGTCACTTTTACCGTTCGTGACTTATGCTCCTTTATAAACATAAAAATTACTGAATTTTTCGTTTCTTTTCTCTAACTTTAGTTTGCATCAACTAAATGTTATGAAACTTATACACAATGCTTAAAATCACAAAACGATCTTAATTACGTGAATCCTGCATCTGTATATGGAAGTTGACTCATGCATATTTTTACAAGCGGGGGCATCAGTGGCCTATAGACACATTCTCAATTTATTTTTTATTAGAACATGTAAAGCTAACTAAATGTATGTTTTGTATTTCTAAACATGTATGTTTTTCGAAAGAGATTGCTCTTTTATATACCTTGAACATTACTTAAGGGTTAGTTTGGCAATAAATCCTTCTTTGAAATTAAATTTGGAAATAAGAACATTATCAAACCTTAATTTTTTACTCAAATTATGATGTTAAAAACAAATTGTCTTCAGATTTCAATCAAAATTATTTTGTTTCAGCAGACCTTTAGTCTCATCATATGGTATTTATTTGTTAGATTAAAGTTCCATTTGACTGCTCAGTACATCGTATCATATTAAATCAAAGAGATGTGAATTAATTGTCATTGATATTGTTCATTTAAGAACATAGTCAAATTACAGGTCATCGTATGACCTTTAACAACGAGATTATTAATGGATAAAATCCTTTGTAAAATATGATGAAATACCTTATACACATAATAATGGAAACAAGCAATAGTATCATGAGTACTCCACCAGCTCCTGCTCCAAGATAAACGTACAGATCGGAATTCTCGTCTGAAAAAAAAATTATTGTGTACTTAAATAAACTCTAAATAAATTGTGTACGCTAGACGCGGATTTCCTCTACAAAAGACTCATCAGTGACGCTGTAATAAAAAAGATAATAAACCAAAAAAGGTACAAGGTTAGAGAGCATTGAGGACTCAAAATGCCGACAGGTCTTGTCAAATACAGCTGAAGTAATCTATTCCAATGGTAGAAAATTGATAGTATTTCGAAAAGATTAAAAGTTTTTTAAAACAGTTAATCTATGACCATATCAATGATAGTTCATGTCAACACAGAAGTGCTGACTACTGGTCTGATGATACCCGCGGGGAAAGACCTCCACCAGCAGTGGCATCGATCCAGTGGTTATAAATAGGCTCATCAAAGATACTAAGATTAAACTTTTCTACGCCAGACATGCATAGAATTAGATATAGTATCAATGCCTCATTCAGTGTCCCTTCTCCTGAGCAACTCAGTATTGAGTTTATTCTTTTTCATTGTTAGGACAAATTGTGGGGAATTTTGTATTTTATCGAGGTCAGTTCTTATAAAAAGATATAAGAAGATGTGGTATGAGTGCCAATGAGACAACTCTCCATCCAAGTCAAAATTTATATAAAAAAAAAATAGCACGCGTGGATGAGTATTTATACATCCAAACACCATAATATAATTAACAGTCCGTTTTAGATTAATGAATCTACATATTAATAGAATTATTTAAAATCAAATAATTGAATAACATTGTAACTTTCTTGGGAAGTTGTATCATACAGTATGCAACCTCTGGCGATTGAATCTAAAAATGTTATTCAAACAAAAAAATATTCTGCATTTGTAAAAAAAAAGGTCGTAAAAGTATGATAAAACGCATATTTTTCTTCGTATTGATGAGAAGCCTAAAAAAATAATTACATTCTTCTCACAAAATATTGCACTTTTGATTAAAGATCTAGACCGATTGGATTCTGATATTTTACAATCTATGATAGCGGAAGATGACCGATCTACCTTAAAGATAAAACGAAAAACTAGTCAAAAATTGTTTCATAAAACACATTGGCAAATGAGTATAATGTAGATGAAACGCGCGTCTTGTGTTCAAAATTATTAACCTTGAATCTTTGATTAGTTTATTGGAGAACATTATTTTCAATAACAGAAAATCGGCATTCCTATTAACACCCAATGTGGTCTTTTGGTAGCCAACTTGCCCTTTTCATTTTATGAGGCAGACTTTACTTTTCGCTATATAGATGACCTATCGCTTAATGGTTTAAACATTCATATCAATGCACTGGTTATAAAGGATACCATAAATACAGTTGACTGCCTGATAAATTGACTTACATATAGAAATTGACAATCAGAGTAAGACCTACTAAAAAAGGGAGGATTTAAGCTTTTATTGAAAATTTCTTTATGTGTGAAGCAACATTCAAGCAGCGCCCACGTATGGAATATCATTATTTCCTTGATAAAGGGTTATTGCTTACCAGCAAGGATTCTAAGGGTTTCAAATGAAATAGAAAAGTTTTAAAGATATCATTATGATTTGGTTGCACGTTAGTAGATATCTGTATTACATGTTACTTCTAGTGGCAACCAAAATCAACTATGTTTGGTCTTTTGAAATAAATGTAAGACTAGGTTCCCTAACATTTCTAACTTTCCCATGGTTTGATATTTTATGTAACGTTTTAAGAGATACAACTAGTTCCTTTATCGCAAAAATTGTAAATTTATTAAAAAGTTGATTCCAATGTTAATGATTAAAATCTGTGGCTGTTCTTTCGTGGTTCCTTTCCGTCCTATATCTACTCACGTATTCAAATATATCTGCTTCATTATATTTCAATTGTTTGGTTTTGAGCATTCATGATGAAGGTTAGTCTAAAAACGCCCTTCGTACCCACCACATTTTTTTCAGTAATAATTAAAATTTGTCACTTAGATTTTTTATTTTGAGAAATTACTTTTTGACAAGTGCACTAAAAGTAAGTTTGTTACTCCCTCAGTCAAGAAAAGGCGCTCGTGAATTCCGCTACGTGTTTTGGTTTTTTTTTCTCTCACTTATATGGAAGATCAACAATGACTCTAAATTTTCCGACATCTTATTCCGAACGTGTATTCGTGGAAATCAGTATTTTCAACGGCGATCTCCTACTTGTGTATTCTAGAAAAGGTCACCAAATCATTGAAAGTGACTAGCCATTCTGATCGGACATAATTTTAGCAGTTTATTTATTTCTGCTGCAAATCCATTCATCAATAATTTATACCTTTGGTGGTATCATTCTCTGCCGCTATAGTTGACTGAGTATAAGAACTTGTCACGGAGCTATCGCTGATTGGTGTTGTTACTGTTTTCGTTTTTGTTGAACGATTGTCCTCTGTGGTTGTTCCTTGTCTTATTTTGGTAGTCGATTCGGGAAGGTAACCCTGGCTTGTTTTGGTGGTTGATTCTGGAGGGTAAACCTGGCTTGTTATGGTGGTTGATTCTGGAGGGTAAACCTGGCTTGTTTTGGTGGTTGATTCTGTAGTTGTTCCCCGGCTTGTTTGGGTGGTCGATTCTGGTGGGAAGCACCTAATTTTCAATTCTGTAATGTGCATAATTATGAAAAATATAGGTTCTCTAAGATATTGATTGCTTACTACATGCCTAGCGAATTTAGAGGTAAAAACATCGTTTAGATCCTATCTTTTGTAACAATTTTCCCAAATCCGCTATCTAATTTTCTTGCAGATTTCGGTGTATGCACACCTCCATCTACCTCAAATAAATAACATTTCAGCAATCGCTCCAATCAGCAGTAAGTCAACAAATCAATCCCATGACGTCAATTTTTCTCGTTTGTGTCGAAGTTTTCATTCTGACTTCCCTTGGGCTGGACAATAATATTTTGTTTGATTTTAAATTACTGATAACAAAATCAATATTTATACAAATAAAAACAATATTCAAAGATATAATTACAATGTTGAATTGGTAACCTTTTAGAATAAATTTATTTAAAGGATCGATAATTTTACCCGGATTATTTCAATATTTCTGGAAAGCGAGATTATTTCGACATTATTGACATTGTACATATACTGCTTGTTTCTGCTGTTCATTTTTAAGAAAAAAAATCACATTTTTTGATAATGCATGTTTTGTGACAGACTTACAGATACAAGAATGGCTGCTGGATAATATTTGTTCTTTGAATAAAATGCTGATAAATATCCGCAAACACTCATAAATAATAAAGACAACAATTTAGTTTTACCACCTTTCAGTAGCAACATACCATTAGCCTCAGCCTATTTGGTTTACAATAATCATGTCAGATTGATGTTTATAGACCATTTATATATCTTGGTAATTGATATGCTTATGCTATCAGCTTGATAAGTGTAATACTTTCATTATCAGAGATATTTTCCAAACTCAAAAATTTTTCAAGCAAGATCACGAGGACTATCGAATGAAATTAAAACACAAAGTTATTTCAGTCACTATCATTATTTGGTTGATCGTTACATTTTTCCAGCTCATTTATGAACTTTAAACTTGGTCTATAAACATCAATCTGACATGATTATTTTATTCCCTACTACTGTGATTGACTTTTGAATCGAGTGTCTGGTTGTAAATGCTGAGCAATAGATACTTACCTTGACGCATTTAGTCTTATTTTGTTTTGAGCTGATTGTTTGCGTGCCTATTTTTATCTGTTTTATGCATTGTTGTATGGCATGTTGTATGGGATGTTAGCTGAACATGGTTTAAACCTTACTTTTTAATCAATGACTAATCTCCTGCTCGTATTTTTTTAACATTTTGCGTTAGAATAGTATCGAATTATGCCAGCCATATTTCCTGTTGCAAAATGACGATATAACTAAAAAAAGTATAACAAAAATACCGAACGAAAAGGCAAATTCAAAAAGAGGAAGTCCATAAAAACTGACATAATCAAACGCTATCAATCAAAGGAACAAGTGAAAACAACTGCCATATTCCTGACTTGGTACACCGAGAAAAAAGGTGGGTTAAACCTGGTTACATGGCTAGCTAAACCTCCCACTGAAAATTGTTTATAGTGTCACGTGCCGGGGGTACTTAGTAATTACTCATCGGAGTTCGTACTAGAGTTATTTTTCCGGATAAAGCATGGGCAAACTTACTGGTAGCGGTTTGAAATCGAATGAAAAAATGGTTTGGGTCCCCTTAGATGAACGACGGACACAAAGGGTTTAAGCGCATACGATACAGTTACAGTGGAGATAATGACGTTGCTAACGTGAAATGTTGTTTTTCGCGATGTCAAACTATGACTTATCGGGAAACGATGCATTTTTCGACTGATATAAAGCATTAGCTTTAAACCGAGTTCGTTGACCCTCTTTTTTGAAAATGGTATTTGGCTTGATTATCTATAATGTATAAAGATTATTTGTACCAATTTTCATGAACAAATCACCGATTAAATTTTTTTTAAAGTTGATAAATATACGGAAAAATATGCGGTTTTTATCTAAAATTTTGATAATTTGATAAAAATTAACTATTTGTTCTTATGTAGCAACATTCCAGCAGCGCCTGCATACGGAGTATATATCTCCCAATTGATACGATATTCCCGGGCTTGTATTTCCTATCATGATTTCCTCGATAGAGGATTGCTGCTCACAAGGAAGCTATTAAACCAAGAGTTCCAAATGGTGATGTTGAAATCTTCCCTTCGTAAATTTTACGTACGCCATCACGAGTTGGTTAACCGTTATGGAATAACCGTTTCACAGATGATATCGGATATGTTCCTTATGTCGTAACTACAATACCCTTCCCTTTTCACGAATGTGACCTACCGAATTAAACTATTTACCGGATTTGTAATAACATAAGCAACACGACGGGTGCCACAAGTGGAGCAGCATCTGCTTACCCTTCCGGAGCACCTGAGATCACCCCCAGTTTTTGGTGGGTTTCGTGTTGCTTAGTCTTTAGTTTTCTATGTTGTGTCATCTGTACTATTATTTGTCTGTTTGTCTTTTTGTTTTTGGCCATGGCGTTGTCAGTTTGTTTTCGATCTATGAGTTTGACTGTCCCTCTGGTATCTTTCGTCCCTCTTTTGCAAAATGACGATATAACTAAAAAAAGTATAACAAAAATACCGAACGCAAAGGCAAATTATAAAAGGGGAAGTCCATAAAAACTGACATAATCAACCTACACCACTGTCCCAGGTTAGGGGGACGGTTTGCGCCTTCAAACTAGTTTAACCCTCCCCCTCCCCCCCCCCCCCCCCCCACACACACATTCTATATGTGCCTAGTTCTAAGTCAAGAGCCTCTAATTCAGTTGTTGTCGTTTGTTGCTATATATCATATTTGTTTTTCGTTCATTATTTTGTTCATCTTTCTTGTTAGTTTTCTCGTTTGAATTGTTTTACATTTGTCATTTCGGGGTCTTGTTCAGCTGTCTATGCGGTGCGGGTTTTGCTCATTGTTGAAAGTCGAACGGTGACCTATATTTGTAAATTTCTATGTCATTTGGTCACATGTGGAAAATTGTCTCATTAGCAGTCATACCACATCCAAAGAATTGATACACAAATTCGAATCATACTCATGTAAAGATGATACCCCAAATATTTTTACAAAAATCCGCTTGTGTTTATCTTTTGAAACAACAAAATTAGGTATGTTTATCCAAATAATAGAAATGTTCAGGAAACCGAAATTTTTAGTAAATGTCTAAAATTTTGACCCCATTTTTCTCTAACAGTAGCACATGAAGGTATATTTTTGATTACATACTAGTATTTGCATTGTCCAGGTAAAAAGTAGCTTCTATGCAAAAAATTTTGTCAAAAATTCACCGTGGGATCAAAACTGTATCGTATGCCCTCAAAGGCTTCTAGTCCTCCAATAAAGTAGCCAAGGTAATAGCAGTTGACGTTGGATGCCAAGGGAGATGCCTTATTTCTCTGCTTTTGATTTGGGGTACTGCTTTTCTTACAGTTGCTCTTAAAGACAATGCTCTTAATTTCTCTTTAAAATGTGACAATACATCAACTAAAGCCAATGTTCTCAAAATGGGTCAATGCTTTAAGCTGAAGCCAATGTTTTTTACTTCAGCCAAGGCGTTATGCTTCCGCCAAGGCTTAACTCAGATGCGACTGCTTCTTCAGCAGTTACTTATCTACGAACACTATTTCTTTCATTCAGGAGCGATGCGTCCTAATTCTTTTTTAGCATTATAATACAGATTCTCACCTCTATTTCTTTTTGTGTGTCTTGGTTGACGTTCACCATCTGACTCAAATAATCACTACAAGCACGGCTATATTTACTAGATATTGGTATCTCCCAAATTATAGACTAACCCGGAAAAACTGTATCACTAAAGTGTTTAACTATACCAGCATATATGAATGTAAATGGAAAGCACCTTTATGATGTTTTAAACTTGCCTTACCAATCCAGGACATTCATCACAAAAGTTCCGTTATATATACAAAATTGGGCAACCCAAACAGTCATAATAGGTCAATGTGACAATAATTGTGATCCAGCAGCCAATACTGTGTAAACATACATCACCGACATACAACACAACTGACTAAAGAATTCAAACAAAAACAAACACAAATTAAAATGTCAATTGTTCTTGAACAATTGAGAGATCTTTCCTTTTGTAATGTAAAATAAATGTTCCAATAGACGTAGAATGTATTGAAAAGTTCTAAAACACACAAAAAACTGTTAAAACATGATAAAAATCAACAAATTCGCTTTTTAGGAAATGACCTTGACTTTTGACCTTGTGACCTATGTGAAGGTTATCGGTCCACAATGTCATTGTAAAAGACCCCATGGGTCTAGGAACTTTGATTCAAGAGTTAAAGCTAATTTTACCTTTTCAGAAACCGTTAACGGGGGTTATGCCCCTTAAGAATATGTCAAATCTCTTCCGTCGAAATGTAAAAAAGTTGTGCCTCAGTCACCTTAACATTTTTCACTGTTTACTATTTCTGTAAGATTAACCGTTTTGGAGATATCGACGAAAAAGTTGAAAGGTCAAAGGTTAAGATCAACCTTAAAAACTTTTAAAACACACTAAAAATCCTTTAAATAAGGTCAAAAAAACATAATTCGCTATCTGGGACATGACCTTGACCTTTGACCTTGTGACCTTTGTCAAGGTCATTAGTCACCAATGTCATTGCTGAAGACCCAATGGGTCTAGGACCTTTGGTTATATAGTAAAAGCTGATTTTGTCTTTTCAGAAACCTAAAACAGGGGTTATGCCCCTTACAGAAAGGTCAAATCTCTTCGGTCAAATGTAACGAAGTTGCGCATTCATGACCCAAACATTTTCCACTATTCATAACTACTGTAAGTATTAAGGTTTCTGAGATTCTCCCATAACAAGGTGTTAGGTCAAAGGTCAAGGTCATCATACCAATTTGACCTTGAGGAATTTTTCAAAGTCACATGAATTGATGATGATTGGTGAAGATTCTAGGTGTCTACGACTTACGGTTTCTGAGTTTTGGTGGCCAACCGACACCGGTTAATTTTCATAGGGGCATAACCCTACCAATGAGTAGTTGAATCTTTTCGATCCAAATGTAACGAAGAACCGGGGTCTGGTCCTGAACAAATTTTACCATTGGGTTTTTTTCTACCTATTACGGTTACGGTGTTGGAACGATAACAAGGTTTTTTGGTTTCGGAGGGATTACTCCAAACCGACAAAATTTTTCGACTCAAAGGGTGAGTTCCGGATAGGTATTCATGACACCGATAAAAAGTGTGAACATGAAAGCGACACGTCTTACAGTTAAGGCTGCTAACTTCGTCAAAGTTTGGCGGAAAAAGAATAATGATAATAATAATAATAATAATAATAATAATAATAAACAGAAGAAATACAGTAAGGTCTTTCCCTTTTGAAAAAGGAAAGACCTTAATTAATCTAACTAAGACGCCAAAAAAAAGGTGTAGTAGATAGTAAATACTAAATTTGACAATGACATCAACAACAAAGGTTTTGTCATTGATAGTACATACCGTATATAGTATATACACCCGAATTGCACCACAGGATCCACCTGCACTAGGAATGCCCAAAGTAAAACAGTCAAAAATCCGATTGCGGGATGTATAAATACCAAGTCACGTCAAAAGGCATACGTCCAAAAGTCCATTATAGCACGAAGACAAATAATGGGGAAACTAAGGTAAAATAAAAAGATTCTCAACTTCAGCACCTAGAATCTATAACTCAAGACCATCTTGTAATTATTTGTGAAGTAGACACTGAGTAATCATCTATTAAGTCTTGGTTCTTTCGGATGAAGTTCTTGAGAAAAAGAACGAGACGTTCTTTGATAAAACCTTGGCTTATTCTTGTTTTGCTCAGTCACCGATGACGTTTTCCATACTAAGTGGAAGTTTGTTTATTGCTGCTAAGGTGAGGAACATTTATAATTTCAAAATTGAAATCGCCTAAAAGATTGCCATACTAAATGACCTTTTCGTTTGCCTGAATATGAAAGTCACTCAATAAAACAGACATTCTTTACTGTTTAGTCCATTTTTGGTAATATCATTTGGCGAGTATCGGTACTTATACATCCTGTTTTTCTTTGTTGACTGCTGTACCCCTGTTTTTGACATTTTTACCTATTGTGTCTGTTTGTCTAGCTCACACATTGTAACAAATATAATGGAATTCAATGTGACTTTTATACAAGTGAGAGGTTTAGCTAGGAAATGCCTGTCCCAAGTCAGGAATATGACAGTTGTCTTCCATTCGATTGATGTGTTTGAGCTTTTGATTTTGCCATTTGACTTTTCGTTTTGAAATTTCATTGGTGTTCGGTATTTTTGTTGTCTTTTTTTTTCTATTTTCAAACTAAGTATTATTCGTTTTATAAAATCTAATATAATAAACCATTTTGACAAAACATCATTCATCTTGAGTTTCACCATAGGTAACTACTTTTGTCTTAATATTCAAAATCTTAATGCACATTTTTTTGTATAAAAGAATGGATATCTTTTTAGTGTAATGAGAAAAATGTTTTGTAGACAGCATGTTTTGTCGTGAATTAATTTCCTCCGATTCCTAAATCTTGAGGCTTTCTCCGCCTCATTTTTAGACTTATACCTCGAATTTGACATAAGCAGTCATCTCAGTACCAGAATCTATGACAAACGAGACGATCTTAATTTTGAAATTATCAATTTCCCCCACCTTAGTAGCAATATACCAACTTCACCTGCATATGGGATATACATTTCCCAACTCATTCGGTATTCAAGAGCTTGCAGCTGCTACCCAGACTTTATAAAACGTCACCAGTGTCTGAGCAATAACAAAAATACGGAACTCCAAGGAAAATTCAAAACGGAAAATCCCTTTAAAAAATGGCAAAATTAAAAGCTCAAACACATCAAACGAATAGGAGACAACTATCATATTCATGACTCGGTACAGGAATTTCCTTATGTATAAAGTTGTGGATTAAACCTGGTTTTATAGCTAGCTAAACCTCTTGCTTGTATGACAGTCGCATACAATTTCATTATATTGACAACAATATGTGAACAAAACAAACAGACATAATAGGTAAAAATGTCAAAAATAGGGAGAAAGCAGTCAAAACATTGTGTTATAATCTTAATCACTATAAAAACAAACAAATATGTCAACAAAGAAAAACAAAATGGCATATAGGCAGAACACATAAGCAAAAATGAAAGACAAGAATACAAAAAATGACGATAGCACAATAACACAATGGCGGGATGTATAAGTACCGAGCCACGCCAAGAGGATATTACAAAAAATGAACTAAACAGTAAAGTAAATCATTTACAAAGACACATAAAAGAACACTATAACACGTAATTAAGATGATAAACAACATCAGTACCTAGAATATATACTTCAAGACCATGGTTTTAATATGGAACTGGTTTAAATTTAACATCCTCAGGTATATCTCTAATATTTTGTTTTCAAAAATTTGGGTTCTAAATATGTTTATCTGTTCATATACATCAGCTGTCAAAGGGACAACCATTTGAAACTTAGGTGGGGCCTGGCAGATTTGGTAATAAATATTCTGGCCCCGATTAAGTTGGAAATATTTAATTTCGTTTTAATACAACTGGAAATATATAAACTGACCCAAAAATATTTAAGATGTCCAAAATTTTACCAAAGTATACAATAGTTTAAGTGATTTTGGCAGTGGCTACTGCAAAGGGGCACAGAGCGCGTGCTCCTTTGAGTTGAATATCCAGCACCCTGGATCCATCCTGATTGTTACATTATTATATTTTGATATCGCAATCATGGCAATGTAATGTGTATCCTATCAAAAACGTGATCTGTATCATAAAGTTAAATTCATTAAATGGCCGACCGTTCGATTCTGGGTAGGGGGTAGTTTTTTGTGTCACTTTTTGGGACAAGCAGGAAGTAAATATTCTGGCCCTGGTCTGGGTGAATGAAAATAATCTTGTCGTCCGTAAGTAGGAAATAAATATTCTGACCTCATCAAATGTGCCAGCCCCCTTTCTCCTATGAATTAAAGGGTCGTCCTCTAAAATAGGGCCATATTTTAAAATCCAAACTTTCTTTTCGTAGATTATGAATAAACGTTTAATATAAAATGAACAACCAAGCTCATTTCGTAGACTGAGTATTAGAAAATTGAATATGTACACAACTGAAAGAAATGTTTGCAATTTTGGAACAATTTTGTGAAATATCAATTTCTGTCTGAAATAATATTCTATCTGACATCAATAACCATTGAAAGAACGATATAGCAGATTCTATATTTTTGTTGTTGTGTGTGTGTGTTTTGTTAAGTTGTGGTTTCTTAAACACATACTTTCCTTTACTTTCAAAATGACATTTTATATTTGTATTGAGCTTTATATCTACATACTTTGAGTGTCGACACAATGCTTCTGTGAGTAAGTTGAATTATCTTTTAATTCTATTGATGTAGTCTGGTTGTAAACAAAACAATAATTGTTTTTATGCTCATAATGAACAGCTACACAAGTTTCAGTATTCCGGCAATATTGTTTACACTCATCAGAGGATGTGTGTTGTGTACCGTTTGTTACTATCCAATCACCATCTTTACCTGCGTAATTTACTTGGTCAATCATATTGCAAGTATATATTGCTTGATCTGCAAAATAAATTACGTACATTCAATGCAAAAACATACATATTTGCATTAAAAGTAAAATACGCAAAAAATCGAACTCCAAGGAAAATTTTCAAAACAGAAAGTCCCTTATCAAATGGCAAAATCAAATGCATCTGTTGAAAACAACTGCCATGTTCCTGACTTGGTACAGGCATTGCCTTGTGTAGAAAATGGTGGGTTAAACATGGTTTTATAGCTTGCTTAACCTCTTACTTGTATGACAGTCGCATAACATTCCATTATATTGACAACAATGTGTTAACAAAACAAACAGACATTTTAGTTAAAAATGTCAAAAAATGGGGTACAGCAGTCAACATTGTGTTATAATCTTAATCACTATAAAATCAAACAACTATGTCAACAAAGAAAAATAAAATGACACTCTATAGACAAAGCACATAAGTGAGAATGAAAGACAATATACAAAAAATAACCATAGCACAATAACACAATGGCAAAAGGATATTACCAAAAATGGACTTAGCAGTAAAGGTTAATATATACATAGACAAATAAAAGAACGATATAACACGTAATTAAGATGGTAAAAACGTCAGTATCTAGAATCTATACTTCAAGACCATTATGTATTATTTGTGGAGTTGATACGGAATATGTAGCAACATGGTCTTGGTATCCTCCGATGAACTTTATAGAAAAAGGACGAGACGTTCATTGACATATTCCAGGTTCATCAACTTTGTGCTCAGACACTGGTGACGTCTTATAAAGTCTAAGTAGCAGCTGCAATCTCTTGGATACCGAATGAGTTGGGAAATGTATATCCCATATGCAGGTGAAGTTGATATATTGCTGCTTAGGTGGGGGAAATTAATCATTTCAAAATAAGAATCGTCTCATTTGTCATAAATTCAGGTACTCAGATGACCGCTTATGAGGTATAAGTCTAAAAAGGAGGCGGAAGAAGCCGTGTCTGTTGTTTCTTTAATTTCTAGTTCTGGGAGATATATTAATTGAACCCAATCAGAAACGTTTGGATTGCTAATGGAAAGAACATTATCAATATATCTGAATTTTTTATCTTCTTGTTTTTGACAAGTGTCTAAAGGAATTCCGACTCATATGAAAATAAGAAAAAGTCTACCTCCAAATTCAACAAATATGTTGTCAATAAGAAACTCCAGCATACTGATCACTTGTTCCTCGCTGTAGCATATTTCACCTTTTTTTTTTACTATTAACAAAATATGCCTGATGGTATCCAAAAGAAATAAATTTATAGCGTATGATACATTTTTATATTTAACAGCATTGTGGTGGGTTATTTCTTTTAGACGATTGTTCAAATTGACATGGGGAATGGTGGTATACACGGATGGCAAATCAAAGATTTTGATAGAATTAATTTCAGAGTAAGATTGAGATTTAAAATTATCCAGAAGTTTTTTTTAAACTTTTAAGAATCCACATATGGTTAATACCACTACGCGAATAAACAGTTCCACAGTATTTCTGAAGACCTTCTTTCACTGCGGACAGAATTTTTGTCAATCTAACGGATAATTCCTTTGTAGAAGATGCAGATGAGCCGGCAATGAACCGTTGTTTGTACGGAGTTTTTTTAGGCTTATGTGTCCAATACAAACAAGGTAGGTCCTCGGATGTGCTGTTCAATGTAATGTTCATTGAAGCCATGGAGGACGTATGATTCACCAAAAACTCATCCTTCTCAGATGATATGTTTTTGTATGTGGGATTACCTGAGTGCTCATTTATTCCTAATTCTTTTACAGCACATTTGTATTAGTACGATTTACATACAAATACTTATTATTTGAAGCTTTATCCGCAAGAACAACAACATATTTATCGTGAAGAGATGATAGACATGTCACAGCTTCTTTGTCTCTTAATATGGACTTTTGTCGGTCATTTACACAGTTTTTCAACTTTTGATTTCGACGTTTTATCAGAGACCTGATAGCTTTAACCCATTCTGACAGAGTGTCCAATTCAACTTCTTCTCGTTTAGCCCATGCTGGCGTAGTCCTCAATGGAATCCATAATTATTTTTAAGTTATGATTTCAATTGATGAAAACAATTTCATCTTATAATGTTAACTATGCAAAACGTAAGTATCGAAACACATAAACACTCAACAGTTTATATCGATAAAAATGGGTAAGCCTTACTTCCCACGATTGTATTTTATATGCATGATCAAAATTAAAAACCTGATGAAACCCTCATCGAAATATAGAGACAAAAAACTTTAGACCTTTATTTTTTTATCATTGATGATTTTGTTTTTTTCAAATTTCATTTCTTCCAAAATATACGGCTTTTTGTACTTTTCACAAATATTAAAGGGTTCAAAATATTATTTTTTTTTCTTGTTCAGTTCAAGCAATCACAAACCAATCAATCTAACAAACTTCAAAGTCAAATTAGGATAAAAATATTGAAATAGGTTGCATACATTAACTTTTCTCATCTCGTCCCATATCTGTAGAAGTTGCGTTTAATTTAAGCGAGTACAGATCGTTTTTGATTGACGCAATGTTTTAACAACATTTATGTCCATTTTGTTGCCATGTTGGAGGTTTATGTGCACAAATTCCTTCATAAATCAGCCAAATACAACTTGACATAATGACCGCTAGACTTAAGAAAAGGTTGTTTTTTCTGAACAATTTTGTTAAAGCCTTGTTTAATTCATCACTACGATTTTGTACCACATGTTGCAATTCGTTTAGTCAATTAAGAAAATCAATCATTTATAACTCCAAAATGGCAGCCAAGGGAAATAACTCAAACTCAAAATACGTCATATCGAAACCTATTAATTGTTCTCCTTAGCTTTTTATTACTGGTAAGTTCTGAACAAGGTTTACAATAATAGAAAAACAAAGGGTTTAGAAGACCATTTGTATGTTGTGAATAGTCTTGGTCTTAATTTTCATAATGTATAAAGTACGTAAAAAAATCCGAAAGGGTTTGCCAAATACAGCTTAATTTATATACTCCTATCGGAGACAAGCATATCCTAAAGATTCTATCTAGGAAATGCCATTATATAGTATGACGTAAATGTAAACTGCAGGTCAAAATGAGGGGGCTACTAAACTTGCCTAGGTGCTCCGTTCACAAAGATAAACGAGTCTTGATCCCTTAGTATCCGACATCCTAACTTTAATTAAACTTCACGTAAAAATGTTAAAAAAATTTAGTACTTTTCTGCTATTTGATTCGAGGTTAACCTACTTTTAAATTGAGGCTGTATAATATTCTAAATGCATTCCTTTGATTTAAATAATGGTAGACCCCTATGAAGCTTGAACGATATGTTAAATATAAGTAAATGTAAAATTTACTGTTAATTTTGATAAACTATTGCATACTGTTTATTGGTTTTTATAACATGGGAATAGAAAAACATTAAGAATACAAATGAATTAACTTTGATTAAAGTATGCTCATGCACATGTAAATTGTTCTTAGTATATTGGCATATGGTGTAGCCGATGTTGATTAATTCGTTTTCCAAGGAAAAAACTTTTTTCCCAAACTGGCTTCCCTTTTTTGTTTAAAGGGTTATATTCTTTAATTTATTTATTCGATTAATTGTTTATTTAACTTTCAAAGTTTTTGACAAAAAACAACTTTACTCTTGAGTAATTTTTATCTAACAAGTTCATCGAATTATTTGTCTGCTTTGATTGCGAATGACATGTTCAAAGCAGTGAATCGACATAGTACAAAAAGTATTGGCGCTAAATGGTGTCTTGTTACATTCTAATTCATTATTGAGGTTGTTTGCTGCTAAAATTCTGAATACCGACAATTCCTTAAATTGGTCATTTTGCACAAGTAGGAATAATACATAAAAATGAAGACCAAATAGATATATGTGACAATTTCTTTTCGTTTATAGAAGAATTTCGAAAAATTAATGTATGACAGAAAAAAGTTGAATTTTATGAAAAATGTAGTAGGAATAACAGAATCTTGAAAATATTTGCAAAAAGTAATTTTGAGATGCATGCTTTTCAAATATAAGAAAATAACGACTGGAGTTGCTGCTAATTTTTTTTATGTTAGAGAAAAATATAATTAAATAAAAGATAACTCTTATTGTGGTGTTGTCAAAGCGTTTTTTTTTTTTTGGCATTTCGACATTTTCGCAAATATATTTTAATGTGCATTTCTAACCTCATCAAAACAACGCATTTCACTACATCTAATAACGAAACGCAACAACATTCTTAAATTTTAAATGAGGTATTTTATTTATATATAAATACACAATTGCTTACTTTTAAATATCTGCATACAGTATCCTCTGGTAAAGTCACCTGCTAGTATCCTTGATTTAAGTTTAAGCTCATTGCCACCCAAAGCAATTGACCTGATACTAGTCCCACTGTTACATTCGATCGACTGAAGAGATCGAGTTGTATCCGATGTATCTACATAATCAACATCGACTGCAAGTCCACACTTCTGTTGTTCTGGGGCCGCATTAGGTTGTCCATCGTATTTGGACATATATATAGTATAATTAGTGAAAGTATTTTGTAGACTAACATGACATATACAGTTGTTTTGTTGTTTCGTTATACGAAGTAATACGCTGTCAACGACTTTTGTTCCATAAACGCTATCTTCTACTACAGAATCGTCTGAACACATATCTACCACTAAGATAAAGAAAATCTATAGATAAGTATATTTTTCTTATATATTAAAAACATATATATATTGACTTTGGTAGCACACCGACTTTAACATCACTCAGCAGTCATTGTATGGTGCTTATATGTATGATTACATACATTACAAACATTCGAAAGTTCCTCGATGCTTAATTTGAAAATTATTTAGAAATTAAGGTGTATACTACCAGCGTTTCAGGTGAAGGTATGTTTATACAAAAGAGCTTCGGTCGCACGAAATGCATGTATTTCATTGTATATCTCACATCTCCATTTATTTATAGTTTAATTTAAGTTTAATTGTGATGCTGCATACATTCATTTGTAATTCTTTATATATATATATATATATATATACAAGTCTAAATTGAAAACAACGTTCTATCCTATGATTGCGTTGGATAAAAACCGTAATTTTTATACGTGTGCATGCAAAACAAATTTCTTGGTAGAGGGGTCTAAATACAGCACAAACAACATTTTCCAAAAGACCAAATGAGTGAAAAAGTATATTTTAACAAAACGCATTTGACTAGCAGGTCGAACAACTGATGTTCTTATACCCTGCTGACTGCCATTGGCGATTGCCAAATAAACGGATCACCGATGTAATAAATGGATCTCAATCATAAATTGAATACTAAACAGAAAACAATAAACTTGTGGAAAAGATGGTATACCGCAAACAAAAGGTGCAAAGGTTTTTGTACACCATATCCGGATTTCGACAATTAATGTCTCTTCAGTGATGTTAGGAATCGAAACGGTATTTGGAAGGCCATATAATTTACCTCAATTTAGGATAGACTCTTGAATTTTGAAAGAGTCAAAATAGGATGAACGGATCATATAAACCCGAAGGCAAATATAATACAAGCCAAAACGAAAAAATATAAACAAGTCTAGATTGAAAACAACGTTCTATCCTATGATTGCGTTGGATAAAAACCGCAATTTCTATACGTGTACATGCAAAACACATTTCTTGTTAGAGGGGTCTAAATACAGCACAAACAACATTTTCCAAAAGACCAAATGAGTGAAAAAGTATATTTTAACAAAACGCATTTGACTAGCAGGTCGAACAACTGATGTTCTTATACCCTGCTGACTGCCATTGGCGATTGCCAAATAAACGGATCACCGATGTAATAAATGGATCTCAATTATAAATTGAATACTAAACAGAAAACAATAAACTTGTGGAAAAGATGGTATACCGCAAACAAAAGGTGCAAAGTTTTTTGTACACCATATCCGGATTTCGACAATTAATGTCTCTTCAGTGATGTTAGGAATCGAAACGGTATTTGGAAGGCCATATAATTTACCTCAATTTAGGATAGAAAACAATAAACTTGTGGAAAAGATGGTATACCGCAAACAAAAGGTGCAAAGGTTTTTGTACACCATATCCGGATTTCGACAATTAATGTCTCTTCAGTGATGTTAGGAATCGAAACGGTATTTGGAAGGCCATATAATTTACCTCAATTTAGGATAGACTCTTGAATTTTGAAAGAGTCAAAATAGGATGAACGGATCATATAAACCCGAAGGCAAATATAATACAAGCCAAAACGAAAAAATATAAACAAGTCTAAATTGAAAACAACGTTCTATCCTATTATTGCGTTGGATAAAAACCGCAATTTGTATACGTGTGCATGCAAAACAAATTTCTTGGTAGAGGGGTCTAAATACAGCACAAACAACATTTTCCAAAAAACCAAATGAGTGAAAAAGTATATTTTAACAAAACGCATTTGACTAGCAGGTCGAACAACTGATGTTCTTATACCCTGCTGACTGCCATTGGCGATTGCCAAATAAACGGATCACCGATGTAATAAATGGATCTCAATTATAAATTGAATACTAAACAGAAAACAATAAACTTGTGGAAAAGATGGTATACCGCAAACAAAAGGTGCAAAGGTTTTTGTACACCATATCCGGATTTCGACAATTAATGTCTCTTCAGTGATGTTAGGAATCGAAACGGTATTTGGAAGGCCATATAATTTACCTCAATTTAGGATAGACTCTTGAATTTTGAAAGAGTCAAAATAGGATGAACGGATCATATAAACCCGAAGGCAAATATAATACAAGCCCAAACGAAAAAATATAAACAAGTCTAAATTGAAAACAACGTTCTATCCTATGATTGCGTCGGATAAAAACCGCAATTTTTATACGTGTGCATGCAAAACAAATTTCTTTGTAGAGGGGTCTAAATACAGCACAAACAACATTTTCCAAAAGACCAAATGAGTGAAAAAGTATATTTTAACAAAACGCATTTGACTAGCAGGTCGAACAACTGATGTTCTTATACCCTGCTGACTGCCATTGGCGATTGCCAAATAAACGGATCACCGATGTAATAAATGGATCTCAATTATAAATTGAATACTAAACAGAAAACAATAAACTTGTGGAAAAGATGGTATACCGCAAACAAAAGGTTCAAAGGTTTTTGTACACCATATCCGGATTTCGACAATTAATGTCTCTTCAGTGATGTTAGGAATCGAAACGGTATTTGGAAGGCCATATAATTTACCTCAATTTAGGATAGACATATATATATATATACATTCTTTAAAGGAAACACTACATAAGCCTGGTATCATTGGTGAGGGTTTTTATAATCATTGTGATTTGTTTCGATCTAAGCTGTATGGGTTTAGTGTGTGTGATTATTGAGATGTTCTGGTGGGGTTTTAATTTTAAATACATTTTCTGTACTGTACATCGTCCTCAACATTACATTCTTTAGCTAAAATATACTTTGTTGTTTTTCATAAATCTGAATTAGTTTATATAAAAGGCTTATGACTACATGATACTACAACTTTCAACAAAGGCTTTTTTCTCAGACGACTACTCGTAATGGAAGTTATGAATCCTCATCTTGTAAATGTTACCTTGTTTTGTTTCTTCTTTTATATTTTCAAATTATTTGTCCTCGAGCATAACTGAAGATATGTTAATTGTATTTGGTGCGGTAAAAAGTATACCGTTGATTATATCATTCTATTGAAGAGATATAAGCATCAGGAAATTGATGATGCCCTACTTTATGGACTCCGTAGATTTATATTCAAATATCTATCTTTTATTTGGAAATTCTAGGCTCTATGATTTGAATAATGTATGTCTGGGAGATTGGTCACCGTATGTTATAAAACTTCTCATGTGCTTGTGTTACAGTGTTTCTGTCTCATTGACGTTTTCATATTCATTCATTTTAACTTTTACGGTACAAATTTTATTGCGCCAAATGTGCATTTCGACAATTAGTTTTTCTACAGTGATGCTCGAGTCCAAATTATTTGAAAGTCTAAAACCTTGAGCAAACGTTAAAGAGTTGATATCAAACATTTTTTTACCTCACGGTTTTGCAGTTCTAGAAAATAATACTAATTACATGTGCTTGATAAAAAAAAATAGCATTACACTTTGACAATTATATTTGAGCTACACTATGATTTGTCAAAAAAATAAACCGAATCTGTGGCAAAATAAAATTAGAACTGATTATACAATTTTATTTTTCTGCAATGCAGAGAATTGACAGACTTTATAGTTATTATGGTTATATCAAATGAAAACAACAGCTCATAAATTCTTGCGTCTAAAGCTCTTTTCTCAATTTATCCTATGTGACTACCAAAATGAGAGTGAATATCGTGCAAATTTTCATTAAACTCTTGAATTATTGCCTATATTCGCTTTAAGACAAAAGTCATGAGTAATTGGCTAAACTTGTCAACTCTTGAAGTTTGTTTGATTAGAATTAGCGTATATATTTGTTAAAATATTTGATTAACATTAAAGAAAAGGCGATAGAATTACAGTACACTTAATGTTACATACTTATATGGTCCAGTTGTCTTGGACACGGGTTTTCAGGTTCTGCTGCATGCATAACTACAAAATATTACAGTCTAAAAGATACATTAATTCTCATTTCTTGAACTTAAGACCTCAATCTTTATTACAGCTACGGCATTCACAATTCTGTATCGATTCGATTAGATTTATTTTTCTTTACCATTTCTCCATTTTGCATAATAAACACTTGTACCAAGACAGGAGTATGACAGTTGTTTTCCATTCGTTCAATTGGTTGAAGTTGTCGAACGTTGGATTTAGACGGGTTTTATGGACCTCTCCCTTTTTTAATTTAGATTTGACTATTTGTGTAAGTACTTCTTACTGACATTTTACCGTATAAACATCGTTTTCTTATTGTTTTAGAAATCAACTTCATAATGTTTAATCAAAATGTATTAAGGATGTTCGCTACTCTGTTTCAAAATAACAAGCGTTTTATAAGACTAATAAATTGATAAAACCAGGTTTAATCCACCATTTTCTGAATGAGAAAATGAAATGCCTGTACAAGTCAGGAATATGATAGTTGTTTTCCATTCGTTAGTTGTGTTTGAGTTTTTGATTTTGCCATTTTATAAAGGACTTTCCGTTTTGAATTTCCCTTGGAGTTCGGTGTTTTTGTTATTTTATTTGTTGATAGTATATAATTAATTGAACTAAAAAAGCAGAAAAAAGTGCGAGGTTTGTGTCCTTGTTTTTGAGATATACGCCATTGACAATTTGGCGGGAAATGATTCTCTCTGGATTTTTCGTACATTAAATATTGGCACATTTTTTCTTTCAAAAGCTATGTAAAAATAACAAGGATTTTGTAAGATTTGCAAAAGTGGCTTTTTATACGATATGTTATAAAATTACGAAAAGAAATGTAGGGGTAGCGAGCAGAATATTGTAATGCCACTACATTGATAAAACCAAAGGATTTTGAATATCCGACAAAGTCATAAGCAATATGAGCCAACATCTTTAGGCTTAAGTGCACACTACTTTACGAACATACGTAGTTATGCTATAGTATTTGTATTCTTGTCTTTCATTTTTGCTTATGTGCTTTGTCTATAGAGCGTCATTTTGTTTTTCTTTGTTGACATAATTGTTTGTTTTTATAGTGATTAAGATTGTAACACAATGTTGACTGCCGTACACACATTTTTGTCAATACAATGCAATTTTATGCAACTGTCATACAAGTAAGAGGTTCGCTAGCTATAAAACCAGGTTTGATCTACCATTTTCTACATGAGGAAATGCCTGTACCAAGTCAGGAATATGACAGTTGTTTTTCATCTGTTTGATGTGTTTGAGCTTTTGATTTTGCCATTTGATAAGGGACTTTCCGTTTTGAATTTTCCTTGGAGTTCGGTATTTTTGTGATTTTTACTTTTATACTATTTTACTGTTTGTACTTCTTTTTGTTTTTCTTCTGATTGAAATTTACTACAAACCAGTAAAAGTCTGAAATGGCCTGTATCTGTACTCGACTGTACCGATTTTTACTCGACCAGTCTGAATTGGTCTGCAATTTACTCGATATTACTCGACTGTAGTCTAAACCATACTTAACAGTCTGAACTTGTACTCGGCCAGTATTTTATACGTGTCTGAACAATCCTAGACCAAGTTTCAACCATTCCCAACCAGTATGAACCATACTCTACCTAGTTTGAACCATACTTGACCAGGTCTTAACCAACCTAGACCTATTTCTGTATCTATCTATTGTATTTCATCAATTTAGCTTATTTTTAACATTTATTTCCCTTGGCTAGAAATTTGAACAACAATTTGAAATCCAAAATGGATTTAATATAGAATTGAAACCAAATTTTCACAAAAAACATAATATAACCATCAACACCATATTCATCAATACTTATATATACCTCTTAAATAATCAAAGTGATTGAAATCACTCATGGAAAAATTGGAAGAGAAGTTTGAATAATTTCAAATTATATTTAGGTATGATGTGGAAAAAAAAACATTAAAAGAACACTATTGCTGACAATTGCATTAACTGGAGGTCTAAGCAGACGGATAAGCACTTTTTCAGTAGATAAAATGAGCTAAGTGTGAATCAGTGATAGCGGGTCCATTAATGTGCACAGCAATTTCTTTTAAATTGCAGATTATATTTCAACCAAATAATGTTCCCTTTTACATTTCACCATTTACGTTTTATCGTTTGAAACAGAAGAAATTAAAAACAAAGATTCTTCTAATAAAGTTTATCAATTATCCTTGTAGGACATGGGACCAACAGATAGACTTGGAGCTAAGAACTTTATTGTCTCAATAGATTCCTCTGAAAAGGTTATTTTGGGGCATTTTGTAAGTTGACACATATGTATACTATTTTTCTCCTCTAAGAATTACTGGTTGATTTTGAAAATAATTATCATGATTATATGACACTGATGAAGGTTACAAGTTGTAGAGTGCATATTAATTTAATTTATAATGTAATATTTTCCAAAAAAAGGCATTGAAATGTATTTTTTCAACATAAACAAATTAAAAAGCTCATTTTATTGAAATTGGGATTCATTCTGAATAGCAAAAATACACTTCTTGTATTCAAATGACTAAAATTGTTAATAAACATTTGATGGGGAATAAATTTTAAAAAAAATTTTGGTGAAGAGTTTTTAAATTCAACTTACTGTTTCAAGCCAATCACTGATAAGTGTACTTACCTAAATTATTGATTAATTACAGAAGATTATTTATAGATGATTATTACACAGATTTATCATGTAAAATATAGACCTTACTTGAATGCTTTTTTTTTTTTATATTTATATGTAATATTTTGTCTTTTCTATTGAAAAAAAGATCTTGGTAATCCTTTATTCATCATTTATCTTTCAGACATAATTAACCTCGGTTTTGGTTTGTGACCCGGATTTGTTTTCGCTAAATCGATTTATTACTATTGAACAGCGGTATACTACTGTTGCCTTTATTTACAGAATCATTTGATGTAGGGTAGATCAATAGTTATCAAATGTACCAGGATTATAATTTAGTACGCGAGACGCGCGTTTCGTCTACATAAGACTCATCAGTGACGCTCATATCAAAATAGTTATAAAGCCAAACAAGTACAAAGTTGAAGAGCATTGAGGATCCAAAATTCAAAAGTGATAGGCAATGAATAAATCTATCATTTTTGTTTGTTTTTATAGTGATTAAGATTATAACACAATGTTGACTGCTGTTCCCCTATTTTGACATTTTTACCTATTATGTCTGTTTGTTTTGTTCATTGTTGTCAATATAATGGAATTGTATGCGACTGTTATACAAGTGAGAGGTTTAGCTCGCTATAAAACCAGGTTTAATCCACCATTTTCTACATGAGGAAATGTCTGTACCAAGTAAGGAATATGACACACCTTAGAGTGCGGTATTTTTGTTATTTTAATTTTTTATATATACCAAACATCTAATTTATGCATTTGTGTATTCAATTATGTGGTCAAGTGTTTGTGTATTGAGATGAATAATGAAGGGTCTGTTTAAATATGTAAGAATGAGGTTGATTAGTAATGTGGTCAATCTGATTGGCATTTTAGGAGGTGGGGCATTGTAATTAAGGCCCCACCTTCCCTCTGATTGTTTAGTGATCATGACAGTTGTCAATCATACTGGTATTGTATCATTACTCTTATCTTATCAAAAAGACAAAAATAGCCTGCACATTGACAAACCTTAAAGACATACATACTTGAATGAACTGCTAAAAAAAAATAACCCAAAAGTTTAACAGTTCATATGTACACAGACATGATAATTATAGGGAACTACACATTTTGTAGATTTATTAGCTAACCTGTGCTTGTTAGGGAGGCCGGTGCCTGAGAAAAGACTTGGAACAATAGTTCCAATCTTTCCAAAAACAAAAACAAGATGATTAAATGAAGTGATTTCTGGTCGAATTAGAAAAATAACATGTTATAACTTAAGTTTTTTATAAACATGATCATGTTCACATTGCATTATGTACATCAAAAATACTTGAACTTTCGACCATTATTCAAATATCTTAAATGGTATTCAAAATTATTTTCAGATATATCTTGTCTTAAGGAGGGATAAATCCTACTTTGTAAAAAATCACTCTGATTCAAACAAAAAATTCTCTGAAACTGACATTATCAAGATACTTGATTTCTTTATTGACAACATATTTGTTACGTTTGGAGGACGTGTTTTTCAACAAATAATCGGCATTCCCATGAGAACCAACTGTGCCCCTCTTCTTGCCGACTTGAGGCTGACATCATACAGGAACTTCTTAGGAATGAAGAAAAGAAGTTAGCAGTATCCGTTAACTTTACGTTCCGCTATATAGAGGATGTTCTCTCACTAAATAATTCAAAATTTGGTGACTGTGTTGAATTCATTTATCCCATCGAACTTGAGATAAGTTAAGTCTGCCTCATATCTTGACATACATCTAAAAATTGACAATGAGGGTCGGTTGAAAACAATACTTTACGAAAAAAGAGATGATTTCAGCTTCTCAATTGTGAACTTTCCATTTCTATGTAGCAAAAAGTAAAATAACAAAAATACCGAACTCCTCGGAAAATTCAAATCGGAAAGTCCCTTATCAAATGGCAAAATCAAAAGCTCAAACACATCAAACGAATGGAAAACAACATTCCTGTAGCGCCTGCATACGGAGTATATATCTCTCAGTTGATACGATATTCCAGAGCTTGTATTGCCTATCATGATTTCCTTGATAGAGAGTTGCTGCTCACAAGGAAGCTATTAAAGCAAGAGTTCCGTGGTGAAGTTGAAATCAGCCCTTCGTAAATTTTACGGACGCCATCGCGAGTTGGTTGACCGTTATGGAATATCCGTTTCACAGATGATAGCGGATATGTTCCATATGTCGTAACAACAATCCCGTTTCCTTTTCCCCGAATGTGACCTACCGAATTAGACTTATTACCGGGTTTGTACTAATATGAGCAACACGACGGGTGCCAAATGTGGAGCAGGATCTGCTTACCCTTCCAGGAACATCTGAGATCACCCCAAGTTTTTGGTGGGGTTCGTGTTGCTCAGTCGTTAGTTTTCTATATTGTGTTTTATGTAATATTGTTTGTCTGTTGGTCTTTTTCTTTTTTAGCCATGGCGTTGTCAGTTTATTTTCGACTTATGAGTTTGAATATCCCTTTGGTATCTTTCGCCTCTCTTTTTATTCTATTTAGGCTGCTGTCATTTCAGTTAAAAAGATAGTTACATAAACTGTTTAAATTAAAAAAAAGGAGAGGTTATTTGGTCAAGTATGGTTCAGACTGGTCGAGTATTGTTTAGACTTTGGCCGAGTATTGCTCAGACTTTAGTCGAGTTTGGTTCAAACCTTTGGTCGAATATGGTTCAGACTGAAGAAATAAGTCGAGAACTGAACGAGGCGAAAGATACCAAAGGGACATTCAAGCTCACAAGTCGAAAATAAACTGACAACGTCATGGCTAAAAACGAAATAGACAAACAGACAAACAACAGTACAAAACACACAACATAGAAATCCAAAGACTGAGCAACACGAATCCTCATTTGGTTTGTTGAAGTTAAATCTCGAAACGCTCTTTGGGCGCACTAAATGTTCACGGAGGTATTTTTATTTTGTCGTGTGGGTGTTTCTCATTGTATTGATAAAGGTCATACGGTGGCCTATACTTGCTTACATTCACTTTATTTTGTACTCTGGTGATTCGCATGCTATCCATGTTAGGGACATGCCTGCTAACAAAATCTGTACAGAGTCAAACTTTAAAAATATAGTCAAATGAATAATTGCACTACATTTAGAAACATATACTCGATTATAATCGAGCTTTCGGCTTTGCTAGTTTTTATGAACTTCTCTTTTTGAATTTTTCTAGGAGTTCGGTATTTTTCATACAGCCGTTTTTGGTATTGATATATCTCTGATACTACATAAAATAATAATTTTCGGAAGTAGTATCCTTTGTTTTAAAATGTTAAAGACTATTTAACGAATAAACACTTTTTTTGGAAAAGGTACGATAAAAAAGAAACGCACGTCTGGCGTACACATTTTTAAGCATGGCATCTATGATGAGTTTATTTCTTCTGTTTAATATAATTCTACCAATACATTTACAAGATTGTACGTATAAGGATGAGCCACTCACCTGAAGTCAAATCACGGAAAAAACTTGTGTGTCATACTTCATTTTTAATCTGACACGACCGTCTGAATATATTTACAATATGTTTAAGGTTATATTTATATTCATATTCAAGTATTAAGGATTTTAATAACGCTAGTGTAATATGATATCAATATGATATAACATTCTATACACCAACAATAAAAAATACTGTTATAACATGGTGAAAATGATTGAATTGACAATCGAACTACAAATAACTTTCTCTAAATCATCATCTTACCTTTAGGAATGGGAAATACAAGAATTATCACCGATGTGATGAAATATATCTTAAATGTCATTGTTAACTACTTTTTAATTACTTCATACGATTGAGGAAGTAATCTCCTGTAAACCAATGTGTAAACATTTAACAGTCTAGTGCGTTTTGTGCCATTTATAATGTATTTGTGCATAAAGGGATAATAGATAAATAAGAATTTTAATTTATAGTCGGCTAATGTTATCATTTTATAAACACTTTTTTTTAAAACCATTGACTATATCTTATTCTTAATCAAATTTTAGTAAAGAAAACGGTTTAATAAATTTATCTATGTACAACCCTCAAATAAATTTGACTGAATTCGTGTTTTAACTTTTTAACAAAAGATTATGATAAAAAGACACTTTATAAATTTGATGCGTCCGAAGCTTTTTTCTGGATTTACCGTCACAATTCACGAACTCACCAAAACAAATTTTTTACTAACGATGAATGAATAATTGAAAATTGACAATCTGCATACCAAAATGACCGATAAAGGAATGACCAAATCCAATAATGTCAATTTTGTATAAAGAAGTTGCAACATTACGTTTTTAATAATTTCTAATTCTATCAAGGTAAATTTTGCGAAATGTATGTTTTCGCCGTTTAAGTGCTGTGACACATACTACTGAGCTAATGATCCACTTGGAAAAAGTAAAATAACAAAAAAACGAACTTCAAGGAAAATGCAAAACGGAAATTGCCTTATCAAATGGCAAAATCAAAAGCTCAAACACATCAAACGATTGGAAAACATATTCCTGACTTGATACAGGCATTTCCTTATGTAGAAAATGGTGGATTGAAACTGGCTTCGTAGCTAGCTAAACCTCTCACTTGTATTACAGTCGTATAGAATTCCATTATATTGACAACAATATGTGAGCAAAACAAACACACATAATAGGTATCAATGTAAAAAATTTGAGTACAGCCGTCAACATTGTGTTATAATCTTAATCACTATAAAAACAAATAACTATTACAACAACAAAAAATGGCATATAGACACTCTGTAGACAAAGTTCTAAGGGAAAATATAAGACGAGAAGACTAAAAAGTTCATAGCACAATAACACAATGGTGGGATGTATAAATACCGAGCCACGCCAAAATTATATTACCAAAAATGGACTAAACTTTAAAGTTTCAAAATATACAAAGACAAATCAAAAGAATACTTTAACACCTAATTAAGATGATAAACAACATCAGTGCCTGGAATCTATCCTTCAAGACCATCATGTATTATTTGTGAAGTTGATGCTGAATATTTATCAACAAGGTCTTGCAATTAGTATTTTCAATGAACTTTTTTGATAAACGGACGAGACGTTCTTTGATATAACCCTAGTCCATCAACTTTCTGCTCAAACACTTGTTACGTTTTATAAAGTCTGGGTAGCAGCTGCAAGCTCTTGAATACAAAATGAGTTAGGAAATGTATATCCCATGTGCAGGTGAAGTTGGTATATTGCTGCTAAGGTGTGGAAAATTTATACTTTCAATATTAAAATCGTCTCGTTTGTCATAGATTCTGGTAGTGGGATGACCGCTTATGTCAAATTCGAGGTATCAGTCTAAAAATGGTGGTGGAAGCCGTGTCTGTTGTTTTTTTATTTTATAGTTCTGGAGGATATATTTATTGAACCCAATCAGAAAACTTTGAATTGTTAATGAAAAAATCTACCTCCAATTTCAATAAAATATGTTGTCAATAAGAAATTCCAGCATACTGATCACTTGTTCCTCCGTGTAGCATGTTTTACCTTTTTGTTCACTATTTACAAAATATGCCGTATGGTATCCAAAAGCAATAAATTTATAGCGTATGCTACCATTTTATATTGAAACGCATTTTGGATTAATTCTGTTAAACGATTGTTCAATTTCACATGAGGAATAGCGGTATACATGGTTGAAAAATCAAAAATTTTGAGAGAAGTATTTTCAGAGAAAGATCGAGATTTAAAATCATCCAGAAGTTCTTTAGAGTTTTTTAGAATCCACATACGGTTAATACCACTACACGAGTAAACAGTTTCACAGTATTTTTGAAGACCCTCTTTCACTGCGGACAGAATATTTGTCAATCTCATGGACAATTCCTTTGTTGAACATGCAGATGAGTTGGCGTTGTGTGTACAGAATTTTGTGAAGCTTAGGTATCCAATACAAACATGGTAATTCCTCAGGTTTGCTGTTCAATGTAATGTTCATTGAAGCCATAAAGTATAAGCCATGATAAGCAGTTCACCAGCAGCTGAATCGACCCAGTGCTAGAAAAATGAAAACAAAATGCAATGTTGTAACCTGTATCTTAATGATTCATGAATTTTTCCATATATCCCAGTGAACTTTAGATTAAGAATACTACATAAAGTGAAGATACAAAAAAGAAGATGTGGTGTAATTGCCAGTGAGGCAACTCTCCACCAGACAACAAATGACATTGAAGTTAACAACTATAGGTCACCGGACGGCGTTCAACAATGAGAAAACCCCATACCGTTATATTTCTCAGTTATAACATTACGAACATGTAAAAACGTGCATGTCCACGTTATACGGACTTCATTAACATGGGTGTGGTCCTGACACATAGACAGCGTCAAGAGAGTTATGAGACGAGGAAGATTGAAATGACTGAAATCGACATTACACTGTTGCTCAGTCTTAAGTCTTCTATGTTGTGTTTTGTGTACTATTGTTTGTCTGTTGGCCTTTTTCTTTTAAAGCCATGGCGTTTTCAGTTTATTTTCGACTTATGAGTTTGAATGTCCCTTCATTACTTTTCGCCTCTCTTTTACATGACGTCACACTTTCACGAATTGGTTGGCATTAAATGTCATTTGTTTTTCTTTTGTTGAAATGGTTGTTTGTTTTCATAGTGATTAAAATTATAACACAATGTTGACTGTTGTATCATAAGTTTTGACTTTTTACCTTTCATATCTGTTTCTTTTGCTCACACATTGTTGTAAATATAATGGAATTCTATGCGACTTTCATACAAGTGAGAGGTTTAGCTAGCTATAAAACCAAGTTTAATCCACCATTTTCTACGTAATTTGAACATCGGTAAACTACCTTCATCTTAATCAACAGGCAACAAAAGCTATGATAACAAACGGAAACATAGGGAATCACATGAACTCAAAAAGGAGCGAAACCGGCTATATTGACAGAGTAAGTGTTCCTGTTATGCATGCATCATCCCCCATGCAAATTCTAACTGTGTAAAAAAGTCAATCGAGAATAGGACACAATCGTCAAAATCAAATATCAAACAATGATACTGGTATCAAAAGATCCAAGACCTCGAAAACATATCGTTAACTAGTAGAAACACCGACACAACGTATGTGTCAACCAATTCGTCATAGTGACGGTAAAACGTAAGAGGTATCGATTTATGTCGTCCATCTTCGTAACTCTGATGAAGCAGTGTTCGTGTAAGGAGCACAACACTGTTTATGAAGTTTTATAGTGTGAACATGGAAGAGTGTAACGTATTTGCTAAAATATGTTAACGCCATACGACAGAGCAAAAGGTTTGTTACTGCTGAGAAATGGGAAGCTGAAATCATCACGTTTTGTCATAGATTATAGTTTGAAGTTGTCCATCTGTGTCAATATCTATAACAAAATCAAGATATGAAGCAGACCTTCTACTGTTGTATCCTTCATTTCAAGTTCACCGAGATATATGATAAGTAAGTATTCATTGAAATGTGGGTTATTGAGTGACAGAACATCATCAATTAATCTGAAAATTAAATTAAAGAAATTGCTAGATGATTTTTCTTTTTGTCTTTGAAAAGTTTCTCTATAAATTCTGCTTCATATAAGTATAAAACAAGTCGGTCAGTAGTAGTGCACAATAAGTAATCATTAGAATTCCGACTGCCTGCTAAAAGAACTCAACAAACAGGTTGTTGACGAAAATGTCCAGCATTTGTATGATTTAATCTTTCCGTGTATTTGTTTTGGGAATAATTGTGGTCATTCCCAAAAGTAAGATTGTTCATGATCTAAAACAAGAAATGCGTATCTACGCTTCTTATTTTGTAGCAAATGCTCTGTTTAAAGAATTGGTGTAGTTGATCTTTTAATGGTGCATTAGAATAGTAGTGTAAAGCGTAGAATTTTCAAGAACAAAGAATCTGATTTACACCGCTGGTTGAATATATCTGTTCACAATATTTCTGTAGGTCATCTTTTGCAGTAAAAAGAATGATGATAAAAACTTTAAAAAGTTTTGGTCAAACATCTTGACGACCCGGTATATATCGTTCTTTATATGGAATTTTGTGAAGTTTAAGTATTCAGTTTATATCCAGATTGGAGATTCCCATCGTCCCTTTGTTGGTAGATTAAATGTATACCACCATCTTGAATTAGAATATAGCAGTACTTAATCGGTCTAGTTCTTTGCTTAAATCTGCAAATATTGAGACAAATTGACAATCAGTGTGTAAGACTGTTTATTTGAATAAAGAAAACACAACTGTTTAATTGCATTATAAATGATAGGCTGTTTCAAACAATACTGTGTGTTTATTTTTGTTTGATCAATTTTTAGTGGAAGATCCCTCCGACAAAGCTGACTTTAGGTAAATTTTGCTTTCTTTTTGTCTCTTTCGGTCATATACTATTTCCAAGTAGTAAAGTTTTTATACATCATTGCACCATGGCTTTCATTTGTATTTATCGTTACTGATGACGGTTTATCAGGAAAAGCGATTCGGATGGATGGAATATACTTTGTTTCATATCCTTTTCGCGATTTAGGTTGAATTTCACGAAAATGTGTTGTTAAATTGACATTGGTATTCATAATGTGTCTGCTTTGGCTATGTCTTAGTTACAAGTGCAATCTGATGCTCACTTTCTCTAAAGGTACCCTTGTAGTAACAATCAAATATTTGAAAATATTGAAATAACCCCGTCCAAATTACTTTTTTATATTTACAAAAAAACTGGAATATAGATGTTTTGAAAACAAAAACATACAAACGACAGTAATAAATATGATTGGAAAGACTCACAAAAGAAGGACGAAAGATACCAGAGGGACAGTCAAACTCATAGATCGAAAACAAACTGACAA